AGTTGATAAAATTTATATAGGTATCGGTGGTTGTATACCGTAAATATAAATAAAAATGGAAAGCCAGGCCATTAAGAAAGTTGAAAAGTATGACGCATATGGCTGTTACGAACTGATATCTAAGACACTCAATTTAGTTATTTTACAGCAGTAAAGTGTATTTTAGACTATTATCCAAACTTGTTATTATTTAGAATGTTATATGACCTTTATTTTTGATATCTATTATAATTGTAATTATAATTATTGTTCATCGCAATTATTATATAAATTTTTTATTGCGTGTAAAGAGAATACAGAATTCTCGTGGCAATTGGCACGAGAACAAGTTGATAAATAAAAAGATACAAAAAATACATAATCTTCAAATATGAGTTAGTTTCTTGAGAAATTAGATAGACGGATCAGATTTTAGTTTGTTACATTCTCGGCAGTAGCTCTCCAATTTTTTCAATGAGATATAACTGGAGTCCTCGAGGATTGATGATGAAAGTTCTAGGGGGCATGTACGAATGACCCAGTCTTTGAGGTATTTTAGTCTATTTTCGGTGAACAGTGGGCAGTCACAGATGTAATGTAAAGCCGTTTTGGGTACTTGTAGCTGGCAGTGTGGACATGGTTTTGTGGGGGAGAGAGTAAGGGTAATACCATCGACGGTGATGTGACAGGCATATTTGCTTGCCAGTCTGAGTTGCATTAAGGGTTTCAGGAGATGAAGTGGTATTCTCTGGAGTCTGGCTTCCGGTATCGGCGTTAAAAATGTAAATTGGCATGCTGAGGAGTTGAAGTAACGATCGCGATCTAACTTTTTTATCTTAGTACATGATGTAAAGATCATGTATTCAGTTACCCGGGTCAAAAAATTTAGTCTGTTTTATGATTAATAAAATTTTTTAATATTTTTCATTCAATTTAATTTTATTATGTGTATCTATTTTATATGAGAATTTAATCTATTTTTGCCCGTACTATTCACAATTCAGACCAATTTCAGATCATTTTTAATGTTATAATAAAATTGTTTTCTATTGTTTCAAGACCAAAATCAGACTTTTTTTGTCACAATCATTGAGCTGGTTTTGATCGCATCAAGGTCAAAAACAGACCAAAACGTTCTATAATTTTTAGTCGGTTTTTCATCGCCTGTAGATCAAAAACCGACCTTTTACGAATTTGATAATAATAATAATATATTTATTTATTATTATTTTATTTATGTCCTCGAAGATCCTCTACAGGGCACGGCTTTTCATTCTCTGAAACTGAAATAGTGACGATTCACTATTTCGTAGTGCAATGTATACCAAACGGTATTCTTCGCACTACCAAATAGTGAATACCGCTCATTAAATGATGCGTGAAAGTATAAAATTTAACATTAATCTTGTCAACATTTTAATCTTGTCTTGATGTATTCACATTGTGTTTATTAACGATAATTAGAAAACTCTAGATTTAGATCTATAATCAAACGATGAGAACTATTTTATAAACGTATATTCATACAAATTTATTAGTTATCACTGCAACTAATATTCGCAGTTACAAAACTTTTATAATCCATGAAATGTTGAGCTATGACAAATAAATATGACAGATGTAAGGTTATAATCGACGTTCAGTTCATAAAACAAGAGAGCGCATGAATATATTATAAAAAAATTTATTTTTTTAAATAAATGCGACTGATAATTTTTAATGAGATACTTTTAAGCCCAAAAAATTATGTCACCATCTTAGTCGACTTATTTGGCCTTCGAACATTTAGAGTGAAAATTATAGAACAAAAACAGTATAAGACTTCATATAGAATTTGAAAACATTACATAAAGTCCATCTACAAATTAACTAGACTAAAAACCGATCAAACTTTTAAAACTTTTAGTCTCATTAGATTAGAAACAGTATAAAATATTCATAGCTGCTCAATTATTATATAACAAAAAGTTATTTAGACTTTAAACAGATCCACAGATTCGGTAGAATCTGGCGCCGAGTTCCGTTCAAATCCGTTGTAAACGGAGCGCCAGACTACCGAGTGTGTTTAATGTAAGCAGAACGGTATTTCGAGGTTGCAAAATTTTATTTAATTCTACGGTAATTTTTTTTCCTAAATTTTATATTATAACAGTAATTCATACTTTATTTTACTGATATTAATTAATTATATTTAATTATAACAATTAATCTACTTGAAATTATTAAATTTAATCAGCACAAACTATAGCAACGCAAAAATTTCGATCCTGACTTTTTTTCGATGGGCAAAGTGATCTGCCACAGACTACATAATTCGATAGTGCATGGTAATCCTCCGATAGATGGGAAACTACAGTTAGAAAAATACATTTCACAGCTTGCATCTACACCCGCCAGGGTGCGCTGGAAATATTTTTACATAAACTGTAGCTTCAAAGGAATAGTTTGCTATAAAAATGCAGCCAACGCGAGATTTAAATTGGTACCAATTGTAAATTTTTATTAAAATTACAAAAAATACTAAAAATCCGAACAAAAACAGTTTCACTGTAAAAAAAAAATCACGCCAAGTCCACGTTCATAAGACTATTAAAAAAAAAAAAATTTGTTTTCTTTACAAAAAGATATAAAATAAAAAAATCCAAGTAACCGATATGATTGTATATGATTTTCCGAAATTAGAAAAAATTATGTTGTAAATTTAAAAATTGAAAAAAAAATTTTGGAACGTATTTAATGTGCGTTGTTGCGAAATATTTTACTTTTAACTAAATTCGTAAAATCTATTTACTAGAACTTTAAAAAAATTGAAATGCACAATATGACGCACCAAGTACGTTCTAAAATTGTTTTTTTAATTTTTAAATTTACAAAAAAATTTTTTTTAATTTCCGAAAATCATAAACAATCATACCGGTTACTTGGATTTTTTAATTTTTTTAATGTTCTATACCGTATTTTCACCGTTCTTTACTGTACGTTACGGTGTTTTACGGTTTCTACCGTGCAAGTAGAATGCTACTGTAATCTACGGTGGTCATACGGTATATCGACCGTATTTTTACCGTATAATACCGTAATTTTACGGTATTTCAGATCCGCCAGGGCCTCTTTCGTTCCGATGCTTGAATCATAAAAAAAAACCAATTAAAGACTCTGCATTATCTTTGGTCAGCCAGCGAAATAATTTACTATATATAGTTTATATAGATAGTATTAGCTGTCTTCAAGCCTGTATTTAAAAACAAATTGCACGCCTCATAGCGCGAAGCGCGTGAGGTTGTGCTTTATACTCGAAAAGTCAAGGTCGAGCAATTTTGTGATTTTTAAATGCCTCTATCACAACAATAATACACTTATACAATAATATAAGTAGATGTACACCGAGAAAACACTTAAATTAAACCATCTTTTACTTTCTAAAATCATTTCATGTAGCTATTTTGAAAAAAAAAACGTTTCAAAAAAAATTTTACGTGGACATCCGGATGTCACTCCATTTTGGATGTACCAACCATTATACTCCCGAACAAATTGATATTTCTAGACTGGACCTTTTTTATTAGTTTAAGAATGTGATGAACTGGGTCCGTTTTCATATCAGTAGCCTAGTTTACGTACTTTTTTTTTTAATTGAATTTTTATTAAAATTCTCTACGATACAACCGTGCAAAGACAAACGAATTTTTCTTATTTGTCACGTGAAAACTATGACGCCACTTGATCAAGCTAGATTTTTTTAGACTGCGTGCGCATATGATAAGAAAAAAGGGCGCTGATATTTAAAAAAAAAAAAAATAAAAAATACTCTGTAAGAAATTTTTAATTATAATTTTTTTTTTAAATTACACAATTTATTTTTTTTCTAAAAAATGAATAAGCGTTATGAGGCGTGTACTTTTGGATTTTCCAAACTTTTTTTTATAAATAGTTGCTTTATGAACAGAAAATTTCTCCAACTACCAGCCAAAAAAAATTAATTATAATTAAACAAGACAATATCAAGCGGCAATTTTTAGTCCACAAATTCCTATGAGGCAGATAAGGAGACTAAAAAAATAAATTTAGTTGAAAAATTGAGTTTTTCAAAGGTTATCGTGTTTAACTTTCCATAAAGACTTGAAAATCGACACTCTAAGCCATTAAAAAAAAATTTTTATCGATTCTACGATCTTTTTTATGTACACATCGTATACAATAAAACTGTCAGGTAGGGTAAACCGTCCAGTCCGTGACCGCCCGCCAATGAATGACCGGTAATGAAAATAATGATTATAAAAATCCAAAAATTTAGCTAACTGTCAATGCTCAATCATAATTGTAATCTTACATATATTTTTCAATATTTAATCCACGAATTAAAATAATTTAAAAGTATATTTTCAAAATTCATAAAAATTATATCGAGAGTCCGAGAACTTCTAGAAAACTATAAAATTTTGACAAAACTCTGTGAGAACGGCTACCTAGAAAACTGTGAATTTTAGTTATAAATACCCGAGTCAAAGTATAAATTCCAATTTGAGCCTCAAAATCCTCAGTGAGGTTTTTGAGGGCAAATTTGAAATTTCAAGATAGATTTCAATATGGAAAGTAGTCACGATTTGAACCTCAAAATCCTACTTACGGACGGTTTTACAACTTTGAGGGTAAAAATAGAACTTCAGAATTCACGTTTGAACCTCAAAACCCTCAGAATATTCTTCAATAATTTTACTATTAAAAATTTTAAATGAATATGGCACTATTGTTTTTTAAATCCTCCCTGCATTTTTTAAATAAACAAATGGTTTTATCTGATAAAATAAATTCAAAGTGATCGAGGTGTAAAATTTTTTGGCAGTGGTACAAGTTGTCATATGACATTTTAGTAATTAATTCCATCAAAACAAATTAGCCAAATTAAAACCAAAAAAAAAATTTTTTTTTTTGGGATTGTTGTTTCAATTGGGGTGTTCAGATTATCGTTTCATATACTTAACACGTTTACCTTTCTTGTTTCCCTATGTATCGAAATTATTTTGTCCGTCCAGAACCATTCCAGCAGCGCCGAGATACGCTGCAAAGCCCTGATGAGCATAAATAATTCCAGCAACTACAGGATTTTCCACAGAAAAAGGATACACTGCGTCCGTGGGGAATTTCTGCGGCAGCACCAACGGCCCCATAATAATTCCCGTAGCTCCAAAGTAGTAACAGAACACCATAAAAAATTGAAATTTCCAAAACTTGTCGACGTACTTTTGAAAAACTACTTTACTGGAGTCACTTGCTTTCAGTATGAATTCATTCAACACAGATCTAAATTTCTAAAGGACACTTTTGTTTAAATCTAAGTAATTTTTTTCTTTTAATTTAAAGAATACAAACCTCAAATTCTCGATGATACCTCGTGACAATTATGACCTTGGAAATATAATTAACAAGAGCTGTCATACAAATCGCGGATTTTAAAATAATTAACATATCGTTGAAATAAATAACAATCGAAAATAGAAGCGGGAAGAATAATCCAAAGGATAAAAAAACGGATAGGTACTTTCGGAATTTGAAGGAAATTTTGGACTCGTCTCCCTGCGGGGGCCACATGCAGGTCAGATAAACACTAACTTTTATAAATTTCACCGCTTTTTCCGGCGTTATTCTAAATCCGCGACTTTCAGTCGATAGTTTCATTTCTAGGCAAATTGTGAACTCTTGCGCGAGTTTATTGATACTGAGCGAGCTCCTGAAAGCTCTCCAGCGTGAAACAGCGAAAGGATGAATAAGTAATGACGCTAACGCGGAAATAGTTTACTAGAAAGGGTTGATATTATATATTTTAAATGTTGGAACTGATCGATCCTATAATTAATGCTTTTAACCCTCGTTAGAAACTAAGATCGCTGTTATTCTAATAACAGGCTGCAATTTTCATGAAGGGTTATTGTTTTGTTATTTACTGCTGGTAAAATACAGAACAAAGTCTTGGATAGTTACTCTAGTGCTATTATAATGTTAATAAAGATCAAGAATAGTATCCATGAAGAAATTTTCTGATAAAAAATTTTCTAAATAAAATTTTTAAATAAGAAACTAAATAAATTATCAGATATGTTGTTAATATTATTGATTATTTTCAGAGAGAAAATTTAGACACAATATACACAATAAATATACTTATTCTAATTACATTTTTAAAAATAGTTTATACAAGTCATTTTTATTAATATTAAGCGTTGACAATAATACGAATCGTTGCGAAGCATGAAAACGCTGTGGATAAAAACTGAAATAGATTTTTTATTAAATATTTAATATTAAAACTGGATTTTGGGTTCTGTGAATTATCAAGACACACATTTTCCTCATTTCCCGCCGAGTAGCGCCAATACAAACCACCAATTTCATTTGACAAAGGCTAATCCTGACTGTAAAGGTATTATTTTTCAGCAAAAGTGCCAAATTAAATTTAAAAAATTAATTTCTTACAATATTCACCAGATGATCCGCGGCCCAGGAGTATAAAAATGTGTTAAATGTTAAGGATATCGCCACAATGCCGAACTGAATTTTGACTGGCAGTATCTCATCCTAAAAAAAGTATTTATATTTAATCAATTAATTATGAATTTTTATTCATTTTACATTTTACCGAAATCAGGAAAAACCCACTAGTAATCATTAAAATTTTAGTCAGTGATACTGTTGTGTATGCAAGGGCGCGAATCGGCGGTATTAATTCGTCGGCAAATCTGAAAATATTAATCTAATAAATTTATTTATAATTAATATAAATTTTTATATACAAAAATTTTCTAGAAGAAAAAATCATATTAAATCATTAAAAAATATATTAATTAAATAATACTTACAATAGTATCTCTTGATGTTGTTTGATGCACCAGCACAAATCCTCTCTATTGATAACTCGCTTGATTTCCGTTACAAGTATTTCAAATTTGGCATTGAGGTACTACCACATGAACAACGCTGCATGTCCGTCCAAAACCATCCCCTTGTTCCCGAGTCAAAATTTAAATTGTAGATTCAACGTATTGAACGTTGAAATCGTCATTTGAACGTAATGAACGTTAAAGACGTATGTTGAACGTATTATTTAACGTATTATAAATGTGAAGAGAACCAATAATGAATGATATAAGTAATATTAAAACTACTCAAATAACTGCACATGTTTGAAACGTAAATAGACAAAAAAAATTTTTTTTCAGTTCTGTTAGAGAGATTTTACATTTCTTTAGCTTAAATTTACCATTTTTTAGAGAGAAATGCTTTATCGAAATTTTTTATCCTCGGAATGGTTTCCAAAATTATGTTTAACTTTATGAAATATCATTCATACGATTTTATACCAAAAATGGCCTCATAAATCTGTATATAACAGGATAACGTTTTAGATGATTTTATAAAATTTTATACCACTGAATTTTTACAAAAAAAAATTACAATTTTTAACTTTCCGCTAAGAAAATTAAAAATCTGTAGTTATTTGAGTAGTTTTAATATTACTTATATCATTCATTATTGGTTCTCTTTACATCTATAATACGTTCGATACGTTCAACATACGTTTTAAACGTTTATAACGTTCAAATGACGATTTTAACGTTCAATACGTTGATTCTACGTTTTCAACGTCTAATACGCTCAACCTACGATTTAAACGTTCAATACGTTGAATCTACGATTTAAATTTCGACTCGGGTGCTTTGCTAGTAAATGACTGACTAGTCATTTATTGGTAAGTTCGATATTTGATACTACCAGTGAATGACCGCACGTTTATTTTGCTGTATTATCTTAAACACTTGCATAATATGTGATAACAGATTAAATGTGATAGAGTAAAAAATTATTCATATATATGTAAACTTTTTAAATGTCAATTATATGTTAAGTTTATGGATACTTTAATTTAAAGTAAATATGTTGAATGTGCTTGATTTATTTTCATTGTACATGGAAAGAAAATTAGGGACTATTCCTATACCATTATGGGAACTAATCCTATAATATTATGGGAACTATTCCTATAATATTATGGGAATGGTTCCCATAATGCTATAAAAATCATTGGGGCTACCACATGATATATTCCTGTGGAAGATACATGACTTTCATGTGACAGCAACATGATTTTCATGTGGTAGTCACTAATAGTTAAAACAACATCAATAATAATTAAATAATAATAATAATAATAATAATTTATATTATTAAGAGAATAAGAAAAATTTTGTCTCCTGGATAGTCACATGATGAAATCGATTTTTTTAATGAAATTTAGTGTCATTGCAAAGGACTTGACTTGAATTTGTTTCTTTCCAAGGTTTCATATCATTCTCGTCGATAGTCAATTTATGATGATAGATATTTATTTTGAGAATGATTCCCATAATGGTATAGGAATAATTCCTATAATATTCTAGCAATCCTTCCCATACCATTATGGGAATAGTTCCCATAATGATATAGGAACCATTACTATATCATTATGGGAATATTTCCCATAATATTATGGGAATGGTTCCTATAATTGTATAGGAATCATTCCTATAATTATAGGAACCATTTCCATAATTCTAGGAAAATTTCCTATAATTATAGGAACAGTTCCCATAATTCATGGGAACAGTTCCTATAATTTTCTGGGAACTGTTCCCATAAAATTATGGGAATAGTTCCCATATTTTTCTTTCCGTGTACTAAATAAATACAAATTTTATTGTTTTAAAAACAATCATTAGTTTCTCATTTATGTAAAACAAATCCCTAGGAAAAATAATTTTAAAGTTGTAATTTATAAATTTGCACATTGGTCATTCACTGGATTGAGCCTGATCATTCAATGGAAAACTACGGTCATTCACTGGGTTTTGTATAATCAGACTCATTTTATTTAATTTGTAAAATGTACGAAGATAAAGAAGACAATATTATTATAAAAATCAAAATAAAAATAATTTATGAATACAATTAAAACGGTCAAGTTAAGTTTTGAAGTTAATTATGACTATACAATAAGCTAAATTATCAGTACCGGCAACAGATCGGTCATTCACCGGCAGGTTTACCCTACCTTCTCACTCATGCCAAAGGTATCCATAATAAACTATCAACTGACGAATTTATCAAAAAATAAAAATTACTTTTAAAAAAAATATTTATAATCTTAATATTATTTAAATGTAAACAAGTAATTTAATATTAAATGATTATTACATTATTAGATCATGGTTAATGATTAATTATTATTATAATTTTTCTTTTTTTAAGAAGAAACTTTAGCTATTACCGCAAACAAATCCAGTGGATAACATAATAATTAATATTTTCATACACGACTAAACAGTTTGGGTTTCTTGCAGAGATATTCAAGCAGTATATATGAAGTGTTGATGTCAAGAAGTTAACCATAGCACACCGTGGAATCTTGATTTTAAGTTTCACAACTAACAAGTGTTATATTTCATCGCGTTAATGTCTTACTAGATAAACTATATGTATAATATTAGACGCGCTCGCGTAATGATTTAATTTAACTTTGGCCCAAGCCACTTCCGTCATTGCTTTCGCTCGCGGGTTTATGAGTTATTAATACGGATCCTTGATGTTATATTAAACAAGATAATAACGTTTAATTATATATTACAATCTCATCCAGGCTATAAATAATAACAATATAACTAAAAAGCTTATTGATAACGACTGACAACTTATTATTAATTACTTGGTAGTTATTTTCAATTCAAAAATTACATATGCAAATTAAACTGGAAATTCAATGGATTGCTTATTGTTTGCTGAAAGACGTATATGATGTTATTTATTATTTGTTTATTTTCTTCGGATGAATAGACGCGAGAAGAGTTAAATAGGGTGAGACTATAGAAATGCCTGGGGTATACAAACAGCAATATCGAGGATAGCGAATTGTCAGGATGACCCTCAAGCGGTTTTCTTTTTAGCGTCAAAAATTCTTTGTATGTCTATTCCTCTGTTATTATTATGGCTTTATTTTTTGCTGATTGAGCTTGTATGCATGTTTAGGTTAAAAATAAGATACAACAATCGGTTATTGTAATCTTACATATAATTAAAGTCATGAATTCACATTTTGCTTTACATAAAAAATTTTTCTTCAATATTAAAAACTTCAATAATCATGTTGAATTTTTTTTTTTATTTTCATCTATAGTGATATATAGCGCGATAAAAAAATTTTTTCCCGAGTCTTTATTCAAGCTCTAATTTACTAATTCGAGAGCCCGCTGAAGATTTTTAATAAGGAGATAATTATTAAGAAAAATATTTTTTTTAATTAAAAAATAGAAAAATATAAATTTAGCAAATTTTTGTAAATCAAAAAGAAACTTCAAGATACTGATAAATAAAATTTTAATTGTAAAATTTACATATTTTTATACATATTTAAAAAATTTTTGTAAATCCAAATGTGCGTACCTTGAGCGCTCATATATCACAAACAAATTATTAACATCAACGCGCACATATACAAATTTTTAATAAAAACCTAGATTGTATTTTCGATTTGTCAATCACTATAAATTAAAATTTTTCAATAACCTCACATCAAAAAGTTGTATTACGCCAGAGTTAACTTCTGATTTTTCATTATTTCTTCACTAAAATTATTGCCGTTAAAAAACTTGCGGTATATAGAACAAAAAAATCAAAAAATCATTTAACCAAGTACAATTAATTTAAAAATTAGTAACTTACATAAAATTAAACTTTATTATCTCTTTTTCTGTTAAAGAAGGCTGAGTAGATTCCAACGATTTAAGAAAACAATCTTGAGTTATTTTTATCACACTTTTCTGGCTCATATTCTGTAAATAAAAAAGTTATTAAACCAAGAACTTATCGATTATTTTTCGCAATATTTTTTTTGAATACTTAAGACAAGATAATTACTACGGTATTTAATCTGACATTATTATATAACCTATTAGATAAGGAATAAGACCCTCGACAATCATCCAGGCGTATATATATTATGGGATGAAGCATAACTGAGAGTGGTTGCTTGGCATGCACTAATGAAGTTGCTAACGTATTCCCCAGTTATATTACATACCTACTTATCTAAACACTAAGTAACTGTATAAGATAATTTTTGCTCTCTCTTCGGCAACAAATTTATTTTTTTCGAATGGCGATTAACTTTTCCATTAAAAAAGTTTCAATTTTCTCTCACTAAACAATTTGCATACAGAAAATTTATACAGTACTTACTTTAGTCATTTTTGCATAACTTTCTTCAGTAGCGTTTATTCTCGCTTGGACAAAAACAGCATTCAAATCGGCCCCAGTGAAATTTTCGGTCATTTTTGCCAGCGCTTTCAAATCAAAATCTTCAGCAGTCAAATTGTGTTTTTTGCACAAAACTTTCAAAATTTCTTCTCGGTGGCTCTAAAAGTAATCATGCAATTAATTAAGAATTCAAAGTTTAGATAATAAAAAAATTTAATTACTTCTTGTGGTAACGGACACAATAACGCTTTGTCTAATCGACCAGGACGTAATAAAGCAGGATCTAGCAAGTCCGGTCGTGAAGATGCCGCGACAATTGCCACCCCTTCTCTTCCTTCCACGCCATCGAATTGTGTCAATAATTGATTCACAATACGGTCTGTTGCACCAGTCGAGTCGTGTCCTCGTCTGAAATAATTATTGTTTCAATTTCAATTATAATATATTCTTCTTTCTTCTATCATACGTTGTCTGAGGATAAGATTAAATTTATCTTGATGCAACCATGTGTGTGTAGATTTTGAGAAATTTCGAAAATAAAATTTTCAAAGAAATTTTTTTTTGTAATAACTTTTAAACAGATGTAACGATCAATTTCAAAATTTATTTAGCTCTTAAACTCAAAAAAAGATGTCAATTGCTGCAACTCACATCGAAATCGATTGAGATGCGTTTAACGAAAAATTTCGAAAAAAGTGTTTTTTTCAAATAACTTCGGAATTTT